GGGCACCGGGCGGGCGCTGGAGCCGCGGGGGGGCGCTGAGACGGCGCGGGGGAGGGGGCGGAGCGGGGGGGGGGGGTGCGGTGCCGAAATAAAGTGGTCGGGGCGGAGGGGGCACTGGGCGGGCGCTGGAGCCGCGGGAGGGCGCTAAGACGGAGGGGGCGCATGATGATGATGATGTGGATGATGATGATGATGATGATGATGATGATGATGATGGTGATTATGATGGTGATGATGGTGAGGATGATGGTGATGATGATGATGATGATGATGATGATGACGATGATGGTGATGATGATGATGATGATGATGATGATGATGATGATGATGATGAAGGGGGGGGGGGTGCGGTGCCGAAATAAAGTGGTCGGAGCTCTAGACACCCTGTGCAAGAGAATAAAACATACCCCCCAAATAATTTTAAAATATTGCAACAATAGTCAGGGGACTATTTTTTGAGTATTTTTTGTTTTTTTTGGGGGGTATTTTTCCCTACATAGGCTCTGCCTAGAAGGGTTCTTACTCTCTTAGCTTAAAGGGCCGGGCAGTGCACAGCGCCCCGGGCGGTTCCCCCAGTCCCCGCCCCGCGGTTCCCCAGTCCCCTGAGAGCTTTAGCTTTAGCTTCAGCTTTAGCTTAGCTTTAGCTTAGCTGTAGCTTAGCTTCAGCTTAGCTTTAGCTTAGCTTTAGCTTAGCTTCAGCTTAGCTTTAGCTTAGCTTTAGCTTAGCTTTAGCTTGGCTTTAGCTTAGCGGCACCTTAGCTTTAGCTTAGCTTTAGCTTAGCTTTAGCTTTAACTTTAACTTTAGCTTAGCTTTAGCTTAGCTTCAGCTTAGCTTTAGCTTAGCTTCAGCTTATCTTTAGCTTAGCTTTAGCTTAGCTGTACCTTAGCTGTACCTTAGCTTTAGCTTAGCTTTTGCTTAGCTTTAGCTTGGCTTTAGCTTAGCTGCACCGTATTTTTAGCTTAGCTTTAGCTTATCTTTAGCTTAGATTTAGCTTAGCTTTAGCTTAGCCTTTACCGTAACTTTAGCTTAGCTTTAGCTTAGCTTTAGCTTAGCCTTTACCGTAGCTTTATCTTAGCTTTAGCTTAGCTTTAGCTTATCTGCACCTTGGCTTTAGCTCAGGTTTAGCTAAGCGGCAGCTTAGCTTTAGCTTAGCCTTAGCTTAGCTTTAGCTTAGCTTCATCTTAGCTTTAGCTTACCTTGAGCTTAGCTTTAGCTTAGCTTTAGCTTAGCTTTAGATTAACTTTAGTTTAGTTTTAACTTAGCTTTAGCTTAGCTGTAGCTTTACTGTTCGTACTAATGCTGCTTTCCTAGGGGCTCCAACTCCTATGTAGGGTCGCACTGGGATAATTGATTTTTCGTCGAAAATCCCCCTGTAGGGGGACGCCCGACATAGCCCCAGGCCCCGTTCCACTGACCGGAACTGCCGCCACCCGAACAAAACCAGCTGCGGCAGACCTGGTTTGGCGATTCTGGCCAATTCAGGGGGCTCCAGGGCCCTGCCACTGACCGGGTCCCCTTGCCTGGGGCCCTGGCTACACCCGAAACGTTCCCGCCTCAGAGGTGGCGCATGCCGGGTCGGACTGCCACGCGAGCGTGGCCTACATCGTCAACCAGGGCGTGCGGGAGCATCCGGAGTGGTACCCCGGCCTCGGAGAGGCCTCGGCCCCGGAGGAGTTCCAGGGCTACCTCAGCAGGTCGGTCGCCGAGGCCAACTGCGCGAGGCCCCTCCGGGGGCAGCTCACGGGGGCCTCCCGTGCCATCTGGTCGGCTCTTGCGAATCGACGCTAGGTCGACGCCAAATCCACGCTAATCGACGCTGCATCGACGCTCATCGACGCTACACCGGCGCCCACTCGGCGCCGTCTCGTCGGCTCCCAGACGCGGAGCGGCGCCCGCCGGCGCCGGAGACGGCGTCCAGAGGGCACGTCGGGCTCCCGTGAGCTGCTGCCGAAGCGAAGGCCCTGCAAGGCCGCGAGCTGGAGGGGGGACCCCTCGCTGTTCTGCTGGAGCCTCGCCCAGGGCTCGGGCTACGAGCAGGACGTGATGAGGGCCCAGCTGCACCTCGCGGCGGGCATCTTCGGGTGCGACGGCTTCGCCGTCGCGAGCGAGGATCGGGGGCCCAGCAGTGGCCTGGGCGCTCCCACCCCAGTGTTGAGTCGGGCACGTCCCTCTGCAGGAGGAGCCTTCCCAAACAGTAACACAGGCTCTGGTGACGATTTCTCGTGCTCTTTTGACCACAGTCGCCCCGCAGAGTAAGGATAGGCAGCTTCCCAAGGGTACCCTTGCATCCTTGCCTCCTGCGTCCATCCTTGGACACTTTCGTTGGCCGCGCCCCGCTCGAAACGCTTCGAAATGGGCGCCCAACGGCCTTGCATCCTTACCGCGCATCCTTACTCTGCGGGTTGACTGTATGTTTGAGGGGGCCGAACGGTTATTCACTGTCCCTGGGTGCTTGGCTGAAGTGGGGATCCACGGCGATGATTCTGCTTGTTCTGTTGCGTCGTCCCGCCCGCGACCCGCCCGCGACCCGCCCGCGACCCACCTGCGATCCACCCACCCACCCGCGACACACCCGCGACCCACCCGTGACCCACTCGCGACCCACCCCGCGACCCACCCCGCGACCGACCCGCGACCCACCCGCGACCCACCCGTGACCCGGCCCGCGACCTGGCCCGCGACCCACCCGCATTGCTTTAACGAAAAATTGGGCGCCTGCGGCGGGCTTCTCCAGAGCCTCGCAGTACTGCGGACGTCCCCGCCGCCCCCTCACTCTGATCCGCGACGGCGGGGTGCTACGCTATTTTTGGACGATGTCGGTTTCAATTTTCTTCCGAGATCCGCCTGCAGGAGGACATGCCCGGCCTCGCCCCAGTGGCGCGAAGATAACCCCGCCGCGCTCGTCGTGGCCCGGCCCAGACGGGTGCCGATACCCCGAGGTGGCCTCGCGATGGCGCGAGGAATCAGCCGGGCGTCCTGGGTCGCGGGGCGCTCTGTGCTTCATGTCGGGGGCGGCCAAGCGGGGGGTGATGACTAGGGGGGTGGACATCATGGCGTGGGCCATGATAGTTCCTCAGATTCTCTAGGCTTACGCCACATCCGCCGACCCCTTTAAGGGGGGTTGGGTGTGTGGGGGTCTGTTTTGAGCACGTGTGTGGTCCCGCGGGTCACGGTATAGTTAGGTGGTCGAGGCGCTGCGGCGGCGACCCAGCAGCGGACGTTCGAGGTGGAGCGTCGCCGGTGGCCAATAATATATTTGGTGCTCAGCGTTTTTTTTTTTTTTTTTTTTTTTGGTTTTGTTTTTTTTCTTCTTCTTCTTGTTCTTGGGGGGCTCCTGGTTCTTTTCGCGGGGGCGTCCTGGCAGCGTTGTTGGAGAGTTTCTGGGGGCCTCATGCTGTTTCTGTGGGGGCCCGCGGCTTTACATTGCCGTTTGGATTCTGCGGTAGGGCCGTCCCGGAGCACTCTTGGAGGCATCTTGGGCCGCGTGGATGCCGTCTTTGGCGTCTTCGAACGATCATTTGGCGGCTCGGGGTTCTGGTGAGTCGTCGTGGGGGCCCTTTGGGAGTTGCCGAGGCTGGACCCCAATTGAAAGCTGGAGTGGATTATGTGATCAAGGAGGGATGGGAGAGTTATTCGTGGGTACCGTTCCCAGATGTTCCGGAGTTGGAAACTCTGAGGCACACGTGGGTGCTGGTGCGGAACGAGCGCCCGAGGAACCCGAGTTTTCATGGAGCGCCGCAGCCGAGCGGGGCAGGAGGATAGGAACGGGCTCTTGTTGATGGTATATTTTCGGGCGTTCGCACTGCGTGACGACGTCGAATGCGGAGTGCCGCACCTGCAGGACTTCCGCGGAGCGCAGGGGTCGTGGGCGGAGGCGTCATTGGATTGGTTAAAGAAAGGCATGCCATGTGAAGAAACAAAGAGGTACGTGCATGGCGCCACTTCTTATTTCATTCCGTCCCTGCCCCCCCCTGGGCCGCGCACGCGCCGCCAGCCAGGATTTGCGCCCTCCCCCTCTTGGACGCCCCCCTCTTGACCGTCCCGGATAGATGCTTCATGGCGCCAAGATCGAAGAGCGGATCTCGTTCGGAAAACGTTGGAATGGGCCCAGATGGTCCTGGAGAGTTTCGCTCCGGATTTCGCAGTGAGTTTCGTGCGGATTTTTGGGGGGCCAGGGATGAAGACTACGAAACATCCGTTGCGGGGTTTCGCATTGGCAGGAATCCGTGCGCAAATCCGCTGGAGCACGCCTGCAAGGTCGGTGCAGCGATGTAAATAGGGTGGCCTCGGAAAGACAGAACGACACAACGGGTACCTCCTTCTTCATGCCCTTTCCAGGAGGAGATCCCTGAAGGCGGACGGGGGATGGAGACCGGGGGTTGGGTGGGGTGTGACGCTCCGCGAAGCCAGCCCCGCCCAGACACCGCGCTTTGTTCTGCCCGTGCCGTGAGGGCAAAGTCTCGCGAGAGCTGTCAGCGTGCTGTCAGGGACGTTTGCTTGCCGTGTCGCGCCGCCGGTTCTGGCCCAAGGTGCCCCCAGCTTTTCGCCCTGTTTTGGAGCCCTCGCTGCCCTCTCGGCCTCGAGAGGGGTGCTCTGGAGGCCGTGGAGGCCGAGGGAACGCGTTATGTTCTCGAGCCTGTCCTGAGAGGCTTGCAAGTCAGCTTGCAGAACTGATTTTTCATCGCTTTTCATAAGCAGTCCGCTTCGTGGACTCACTGTGTGCAGTCAGGCCCCGCCAGACTTAACTGTAAGCAGTCAGCGGTCGCCCAAGGCTGTCGTCCGCCAGCTCGTGCCCCCGACTTTGTAACTTGTCGCCGAGGCCCACTCGGCGTCTGGAAAAGGTTTGCTGGCCAGGGGGGAGGGTAGATCATGATGGTGATGATGTTGACGATGATGATGCTGATGATGACGATGATGGTGGTGGTGATGTTGGCTATGCTGCTGATGATGCTGATGATGCTGCTGCTTATGATGATGCTAATGATGCTGAAGTTGATGATGATCATGAGGATGAGGATGCGGATGAGGATGAGGATGCGGATGAGGATGACGATGACGATGATGAGTACGAAAATGATGATGGTGATGATGCTGATGATAATGATGATGATGATGATGATGATGATGATGATGATGCTGGTGATGGTGCTGATGATGACGACGGCGACGGCGACGGCGATGGCGACGATGATTGTGATGATGATGGTGGTGGTGATGGTGATGAGGATGATGATGAGAATGGTGCTGATGCTGATGCTGATGCTGATGCTGATGATGATGATGCTGGTGCTGATGCTGCTGGTGCTGATGGTGATGGTGCTGATGCTGGCGATTATGATGATGATGAAGCTGATGACGCTGATGCTGATGCTGCTGCTGATTTTGCCGATGATGATGCTGATGATGATGTTGATGCTGATGCTGATCATGACGATGATGCTGAGGCTGCTGCTACTGCTGCTGATGATGATGATGATGCTGATGCTGCTGATGAGGATGATGACGATTCTGATGGTCATGGTGATGATGATGCTGATTGTAATGATTATGATACTGCTGCTGATGATACGGGTGATGATGGTGATGGATGCTGATGATTATGCTGATACTGCTGATGATGCTGCTGCTGTTGATGATGAGACGACGATGAAGACATGCGGAGGGCAGAGGCAGGGATGGGAGGAAAGAGAAGGGGAAGGAACACAGAGCAAGAGGAGGAGGAGGAGGAGGAGGAGGAGGAGGAGGAGGAGGAGGAGGAGGCAGGAGAGAGGAGGAGGAGGAGAGGAGGAGGAAGAGAGGAGGAGGAGGAGGAGGGGAGGAGGAGGAGGAGGAGGAGGAGGAGGAGGGGAGAGGAGGATGATGAGGAGAAGGAGGAGGAGGAGGAGGAGGAAGGGATGAGGAGGAGGAGGAGGAGAGGATGAGGAGGAGGAGGAGGAGGAGGAGGAGGAGGAGGAGGAGGAGGAGGAGGAGGAGGAGGATGAGGAGAGGAGGAGGAGGAGGAGGAGGAGGAGGAGGAGGAGGAGGAGGAGGAGGAGGAGGAGGAGGAGAGGAGGAGGAGGAGGAGGAGGAGGAGAGGAGGGAGGAGGAGGAGGAGGAGGAGGAGGAGGAGGAGGAGGAGGAGGAGGAGGAGGAGGAGGAGGAGGAGGAGGGGAGGAGGAGGAGGAGGAGGAGGAGGAGGAGGAGGAGGAGGAGGAGGAGAGGAGGAGGAGGAGGAGAGGAGGAGGAGGAGGAGGAGGAGGAGGAGGAGGAGGAGGAGGAGGAGGAGGGAGGAGGAGGAGGAGGAGGAGGAGGAGGAGGAGGAGGAGGAGGAGGAGGAGGGAGGAGGGGAGGAGGAGGAGAGAGGAGGAGGAGGAGGAGGAAGGAGGAGGAGGAGGGAGGAGGAGGAGGAGGAGGAGGAAGGAGGAGGAGGAGGAGGAGGTAGGAGGAGGATGAAGGGAGGACGCGGCGCTACGGATTCAAAACGAGGACCCAACACCACAAGACGGTTAGGAAAAACACCTCTGTCCTCGGTCGTCGGTCCATTGTACCATTATTTTCTGTTGATCGGCGGCTTTTTGAGGTAAAGACCACCAATCGCCTGTTGACCGCCAGAAGGGCCTGATAGCCCAGCCCGCCCAGGAAGGTGCGGGTTCGCTATCGGGGGCCTTTTGCTGACCGATCGTCGATGTATCACCGATTCCAATGCACCCCCTCCCTGAGTCGGTCCCCCCACAACTTTCCGCCTCAGAGGTGGCGCGTGCCGGGTTAGACTGCCAAACGAGTGTGGCTTACATCGGCAACCGTGGGTTGCATCGACCACCAATCGCCCATGATCGCCGATTGGGGCCTGATGGCCCACCCCACCCAAGCACGTGCGGGCTCGCTATCGGGGGCCTCTTACTGACCTATCGACGATGTATCGCCAATCCGAGCTCGATGTCCCCCCCCGAGTCGGTCCCCCATGAACGCTGGGCACAGCGAAGAGCCATAACCACAACTGAGTGGACTTTTCGGGAGGGCCCCTCGGTCGAGAACCCACCGACCTCGACACGACCACTCTGGTTATGGTTGTGGTCGATTTGGCCGTCCTGTGACGCCACGTCGACCACAAGCAGTACGAAGCGGGGGGCGATCCGACAATTTTTGGCATGCGCAAGACATCCCCCAGGGTGTGTCCTCGATGTGGTTGTGGTCGCTTGCTGTCCCTGCGATAACGTCCCGCCTCAGAGGGGGCGCATGCCGGGTCAGACTGCCAAACGAGTGTGGCTCACATCTTCAATCGGGGTGTGCATCGATTGCCAATCGCCCATTGATCGCCGCTTGGGGCCTGATGCCCCAACCCACCTAGGAGCGTGCAGATCCGCTATCCGGGGCCTATTGTCGAACTATCGGCGATGCATCGCCGGTCCAAGCTCGATGTTTGTCGCCCTGAGCGGGTCCTCCCTTAGCCTATCGTTCCCCCGCAGGGGGAGGGGCCCTCAGTCGCGCGAGGCGCCATCGGGAGAATGGCAGGAAGTCCTCGGTGCAGGAAGTTCTCGGTGAGGCACCACCTGCTCTTCGAGAGAGGGGCACGACGACCATGACCAAGATGTCGCGGGATCTTGTCGACGCCAACCTTGGTCATGGTCAATGTTGGTCGTCGCCGATTCGCGAGCATGGTCCACGAACCGACGACGATCCAGATGAGCGGCGACGAAGATCGCCACCGACGTTTCCGTTCGGTCTTGGTCACGGTAGTCTTAAGTCGGGCCTGTCCCTCTACAGGAGGAATATTCAAAAATAATCGAACATAGTTCCCAACCATCCTGTGGTGTTGGGTCCTCGTTTTGAAGAGACGGTGCCCCGCGTTCCTCCTTCCTTCCTCCTTCCTTCCTTCCCTCCTCTCCCTCCTCCCTCCTCCCCCTCCTTGCCTCTGCTCTCGGCACACCTTTCACACGTTTCGTAGCCCCATAGGGAGCTCCACCGAAGGTCCCAGTGTGGGGGGGGCGCATGCGGTTCCCCCACCCAGGGCAGCGTTTTGTGGCCATAGGGAGCTCCACCGAAGGCCAAAGTGGGGGTGGGCGCATGCGGTTCCCCTACCCAGGGCAGCGTTTCGTGGCCCCATATGGAGCTCCACCGAAGGTCCCAGTGGGGGTGGGCGCATGCGGTTCCCCCACCCAGGGCAGCGTTTCGTGGCCCCATAGGGAGCTCCACTGAAGGCCTCAATCGGGGTGTTCGCATGCGTCTCTCCCACCCAGGACAGCGTTTCGTGGCCGCATAGGGAGCTCCGCCGAAGGCTCCAGAGGGGGTGGGCGCATGCGGTTCCCCCACCCAGGGCAGCGCTTCGTGGCCCCATAGGGAGCTCCGCCGAAGGCTCCAGTGGGGGTGGGCGCATGCGGTTCCCCCACCCAGGGCAGCGCTTCGTGGCCCCATAGGGAGCTCCACCGAAGGCCCCAGTGGGGGTGGGCGCATGCGGTTCCCCCACCCAGGGCAGCGTTTCGTGGCCCCATAGGGAGCTCCACCGAAGGCCCCAGTGGGGGTGTTCGCATGCGTTTCCCCACCCAGGACAGCGCTTCGTGGCCCCATAGGGAGCTCCACCGAAGGCCCCAATCGGGGTGTTCGCATGCGTTCTCCCACCCAGGGCAGCGCTTCGTGGCCCAATAGGGAGCTCCACCGAAGGCCCCAGTGGGGGTGTTCGCATGCGTCTCCCCTGCCCAGGACAGCGCTTCGTGGCCCCATAGGGAGCTCCACCGAAGGCCTCAATCGGGGTGTTCGCATGCGTCTCTCCCACCCAGGACAGCGTTTCGTGGCCCCATAGGGAGCTCCACCGAAGGCGCCAGAGGCGCAGTTCGCATGCGCCTCCCCCACCCATGACAGCGCTTCGTGGCCCCATAAGGAGCTCCAGCGAAGGTCCCAATGGCGCAGTTCGCATGCGTCTCCCTCGCCCAGGGCAGCGTTTCGTGGCCCCATAGGGAGCTACACCGAAGGCCCCAGTGGCGGTGTCCACATGCGTCCGCGCTACCAATTTCGGCGCACCCCTCACAAGTTTCGTGGCCCCATAGGAGCTCCACCGAAACCGGTACCCACAATGCGGTACTCGCAACTGCACATGGTTGGGTCCTTCGTCAGGCTAATTTTTTCTTTCCATTTTTATTTCCCAACCATCCTGTGGTGTTGGGTCCTCGTTTTGAAGAGACGGTGCCCCGCGTTCCTCCTTCCTTCTTCCTTCCTCCCCCTCCTCCCTCCTCCCCCTCCTTGCCTCTGCTCTCGGCACACCTCTCACACGTTTCGTAGCCCCGTAGGGAGCTCCACCGAAGGTCCCAGTGAGGGGGGGCGCATGCGGTTCCCACGACCAGGGCAGCGTTTCGTGGCCCCATAGGGAGCTCCACCGAAGGCCTCAATCGGGGTGTTCGCATGCGTCTCTCCCACCCAGGACAGCGCTTCGTGGCCCCATAGGGAGCTCCACCGAAGGCCTCAATCGGGGTGTTCGCATGCGTCTCTCCCACCCAGGACAGCGTTTCGTGGCCCCATAGGGAGCTCCACCGAAGGTCCCAGTGAGGGGGGGCGCATGCGGTTCCCAGCGTTTCGTGGCCCCAGAGGGAGCTCCACCGAAGGTCCCAGTGGGGGTGGGCGCATGCGGTTCCCCCACCCAGGGCAGCGATTCTTGGCCCCACAGGGAGCTCCACCGAAGGCCCCAGTGGGGGTGGGCGCATGCGGTTCCCCCACCCAGGGCAGCGTTTCGTGGCCCCATAGGGAGCTCCACCGAAGGCCCCAGTGGGGGATGGGCGCATGCGGTTCCCCCACCCAGGGCAGCGCTTCGTGGCCTAATAGGGAGCTCCACCGAAGGCCCCAGTGGGGGTGTTCGCATGCGCCTCCCCTGCCCAGGACAGCGCTTCGTGGCCCCATAGGGAGCTCCACCGAAGGCCTCAATCGGGGTGTTCGCATGCGTCTCTCCCACCCAGGACAGCGTTTCGTGGCCCCATAGGGAGCTCCACCGAAGGCGCCAGAGGCGCAGTTCGCATGCGCCTCCCCCACCCATGACAGCGCTTCGTGGCCCCATAAGGAGCTCCAGCGAAGGTCCCAATGACGCAGTTCGCATGCGTCTCCCTCGCCCAGGGCAGCGTTTCGTGGCCCCATAGGGAGCTACACCGAAGGCCCCAGTGGCGGTGTCCACATGCGTCCGCGCTACCAATTTCGGCGCACCCCTCACAAGTTTCGTGGCCCCATAGGAGCTCCACCGAAACCGGTACCCACAATGCGGTACTCGCAACTGCACATGGTTGGGTCCTTCATCAGGCTAATTTTTTTGGGGTACTTGTGCCTATTTTTTCTTTCTCGTTCAAAATCCCCCTGTAGGGCCCGACCTGATGGTAGTCGTCGTCTTCCCCTCCAGTTATGCTTTTTGTGGCCGGCCCCGGAGAGAGGACGCCTGGTCCCTCGGCCGCGGCCCTGGCGGGCGCATCGGCGAGGTGCGGACCGTCCGCTTCAAGGGCGCGGAGGTCGGCGTCTCGAAGGACGACAGGGGGAGCAGAGAGCGGGGACCGGATGATCGAGCGTTCGAGGATCAAGGATTAAAACGACGCGAAGATCGGGACAAAATCGGATCGGGATAACTCGAAATCTCTGAGAATCGGCGGGTTTGGAGGATGTATTGGGAGCCCCGGCCGCTCCAGAGCGTTCCGGAACGCTCTGAGAGCGCTCCGGAACGCTCTGGAGCGATTTATCCCGATCCTAGCCCTGTTTTAAGAGAGCGGGGACTGGAGGATCGAGCGTTCGATGATCAAGGATCGGTCTTTGGGGCGCTCGGGGCCCATTATTGGGCCTCCCGGGGCGCCCTCGTCTCCGCGGCTGGATTCCCTATGGAAGTTCTGGTCAGAGCGCACTCAGAGACAGGCTCAGGGGTCGAACTGGAGGAGGAGGATGAGGAGGAGGAGGATCACGAGGAGGAGCAGGAGGAGGAGGAGGAGGAGGAGGAGGAGGAGGAATAATAATAGTACTAATGGTAATAATGATAATAACAATATTATTACTGATGGTAAGAGTTATTGAGAAGGAGAACGCTCATACGAATGAGGAAGTACATGACAAGAGAACGAATAAGTGCCACCATAACACTACCAAACATAATAGCAATACTGACATTAATAATATTATTCATCGTATTAAGAATATGAATGATAAGAATACCACTGATAAAACAAATGCAACGAATAACTAGGACTGCTTCTATTAAGAATAGTAATGCGAACGCCAACAATGATAATCATACTCGTACAAATAATATAGACAATACGATGAAGCAGAAGAGTACTGATGATTTTAGTAACAAGGGAAGAAGACTACGACTAATACTGATACTGATACTACTACTGCTACTACTACGATTACTACTACTACTACGACTACTACAAGCACAAATACTATTAGTACTACTACGAATGCGACTACGACTGCGACGACTACTACACCTACTACTACTACACTACACTGCACTACACTACACTGCACTGCACTGCACTGCACTACACGACACTACACTAAACTACACTACACTACACTACACTACACTACACTACACTATACTACACCACACTACACTACACTACACTACACTACATTACAGTACTACTACTACTACTACTACTACTACTACTACTACTATCACGACTACTACTAGTATTATCATTTTTTATTACTACTACTACAACTACAATCACAACAACAACAACTACTACTACTACTACTACTAGTAGTACTACGACGACTACTACTACGACTATTCCGTCTACGACTACGACTGCGACTACGACTACTACTATGACTACTATGACTACTATTTCTACTACTACTACTACTACTACTACTACTACTACTACTACTACTACTACTACTACTACTACTAGTACTACTGGTACAACTACACTACACAACGCTACGCTACGCTACACTACACTACACTACACTACACTACACTACACTGCACTGCACTGCACTACACTACACTACACTACACTGCACTACTACTACTCCTCCTACTACTACAGTGCTACTACTACTACTACTACTACTACTACTACTACTACTACTACTACTGCTGCTGCTACTACTACTACTACTGCCGCTACTACTACTACTACTACTACTACTACTACTACTACTACTACTACTACTACTACTACTACTACTACTACTACTACTACTACTACTACTACTACCTACTACCACTAGTACTACTACTACTACTACTACCAGTACTACTACGACTACTACGACTACTACGACTACTACTACTACTACTACTACTACTACTACTACTACGACTACTACTACTACTACTACTACTGCTATGACTACTACTGCTGCTACTACTACTACTGCTACTACTACTACTACTACTACTATTGCTACTGCTACTGCTACTGTTACTGCTACTGCTACTGCTACTGCTACTGCTACTGCGACGACTATTACTGCTACCACCACTGCTACTACTACTACTACTACTACCACTACTACTACTACTACTACTACTACTACTACT